ATTTTGGATTGTAGATTTCAGATTAGGGATCCTCAGCCTATATAAGCAATTATAATTCAACTGAGCATCCTGTATTTTATATGACAATGCCAATCAATGAAAATATTTCTGAACTTGAAAAATGATGACTTTTCAATTTTTCCTGCTCTCATTTAAGACTTTCTTTTTTCTTTTTGTTTCTTTTTATTTTTTTTTTTTAATGACTCCAAGTTCTCAGATTAGGCCACAGGAAAGGGGCCTATTTCCAAAATATTTGAAATTTTACTTCCAAAGGACACAATTAAAATCAACATTCACATAGATCCTTTCCACAACATGATATACAGTATGTGGTTCCCTTTTTAACATAAAAGGGCATTTTACAAATAAGAACAAGAAATACCTTTTTCTTAAAATAGTTCATATTTCATAATTTGGCAATGCTCATTTTTATAATTTATTTATAAGGAAGATGACATACAAAATTAATTGTGAACATCTGCAGGGACTCATTATTCTCCATGTAATAGTTTCTATTTATTTAAAATATAAAATCAGGAATTAAATAATAATTCTGCTTGTGTTGGTTGTCATGGGGAAGTAATTTGCCTAGGTAAGACTAAATACCATTGAAAATGTACAGTTTGGTTTCTTTCTTCCCACTCAGGTCCTGCACCCTACTTAATTTTCTCCCATGGAAACAGTATCTTTAGAATTGACCCAGAAGGCACAAACCATGAGCGACTGGTGGTAGATGCTGGTATTTCGGTGATCATGGATTTTCATTACAAGAAGGAAAGAATCTATTGGGTGGATTTAGAAAGACAACTTTTGCAAAGAGTTTTCCTGAATGGGTCAAGACAAGAGGTAAAGTACTACCAAGTGTGGTGATGCACGCCTGTAATCCCAGCAGCTTGTAGGCTGAGACAGGAGGATCATGAGTTCAAAACCAGCCTCAGCAACGGGGAGGTACTAAGCAACTCAATGAGACCCTGTCTCTAAATAAAATACGAAATAGGGCTAGGGATGTGGCTCAGTTGTTAAATGTCCCTGAGTTCAATCCTCAGAACAATAACAACAAAAAAGGTAAAGTATCATTGCCCATGCTATTTATTCAAAGGGATTGAGATACAGGCAAATATGATGATATGCTAAATTCTTCATGTATAAACAAAAGTACATTATGGTTCAAATGTGTGTCTGTCAAATGTAGGCATTTAATCTGCATCTGTGGTACTATATTATGAATAAACTCACAGAAGCTCCTAAGGAAAATGCGAGGACATGATTTTAATTTTGAAAATATCTAACTTTATAGGTCAGTTATGATTAGAATTGATTATTTGCATGATTATTTTCTACTTCACTAGTGCTCAGCTGGGTGGAGGATTCTGCCTCTCAGGGGATATTTGGCAATGTCTGGAA